TACTTTAGTTACAAAAGAATTGTTAATTATTATTTTTATTTATAAAATAAATTATACAGTATTATTTGTACTAATTAGTTTATATTAGTAGTTTATATTATAATATATATATACGAAGAAGATGAACGAAGAAATACACACGATCACTGTGAAGCCTTTGATCTCAGAGGACGGTTCGCGGTGACCGCTGCTGCGCGAAACTGGATCATCCGAAATAAAAAGTCGTGGATTTCTACATCATATATATATTAGCCGCTCCAAAATCCACGCAGACCTTCGAGAAATAAATTCGCGACGAGAGAAAAAATTAAAATCGTGATTAGATGCACAAAATTTCCACGTATCAAAGATCCACAGTGTGGCAAGAACAAAGATTGTTATAGCGGTGGAAGGTATTAAAACGTGACCTCGATGAACACCATCGACCCGTCTCGCTAGGGGTTAAACCACCCGATTGAATGATTCACGAAGAAAAACGAGCAGGCGTAGCGCGACGATGATCGATGCAATGACCCCGGCCGTTGTGCCGGATTGGTCTAACCGAATTAGGACTAATTAATCGTGATCCGACGGAGCGTATTGGTCGCCGATCGACGAGAGCATTCGGTACTCTCTACCAGGAAATTGCATTCTTTTCTCTCCGCTAAACGAGCGACGCTCTTCTCTCGTTATGTCTTGCTCCAAACAATTTTGATTTCCCACAAAAATCTGCAGTCTGATTACTTAATTAATACTAAAATTCCTTACGTAAAGACTAGACTTGAAATATAATTATACAATAGACTGTGGATTTTATGCATTAGTGGCAAAATTAAGTAGCTGCAATTTAAAATAGTAGAATAAATTTAAAAAAAATCATTACTAATCTATTAAAATTATTAAAGAAAGAAGGAGTTTAATAATTAGTTTATTATTATTATTATTTATTATTATTATTAAAATATTATTATCATTATTATTATATATTATAATAATTAGTTTCTACTTCCTGCAATTAAAGGAGACAATTTTGATTTCGCATGAAAATCCGCGCTCCACTTATTAACCCTTTGCACTCGAGTGGCGACCCCGAGGCACCACTAATATTTGTTGTATCACCTTTTAGGATAATTTTGATATTAACAAAGTTCACGTTTGAAAAATTAAGTTAAGAGTGTAACTGTCGCGCGAGTCCCAAGAGTCAATTTTCAATATATGCATAAAATGCGTTTTCTTATATAAACAGAAATACTGTTAGAAAAATGATTTTACATTTTCAGTTGAAACAGCTTGGCGTGCAAAGGGTTAATATTTACCAGAGCGTTGCTATTATTTTCTTTCGCCCCAGTCCTCTGAAATAAATAACCGAAAAAAAACCGGAAAAACTTTTCCAACAATTTTTCCCAAGAAAAGCTCTACCGAGGACGCATACTCTTCCGTACACTCTAAAATTAATTTCGCGTCAATTTGGTTGGACGAACACGTACGAACATGTCGCGTTAGAGTGGTTCTTGCGCAACCAGGGCCCGCTCCGATGGAGCCGTGGCATTGGCCAAGGAGAATCGAAGCAATTAACATTCGGATGAAGTTGTATTTTACAGTAAGTATCGGTTTTGGCAATTCGCAACTGTGCAGTTGGCTCGGGGACACGCAGTTCCACGCGAACTGGGAAATTTTCTGGCCGAGCCGAGCACGTCGAAAACCTGAATAATAGATGCACACGCGGACGCAGAGAGTCGATACCACGACGGGGAACGTAACAGGTGTTCCACGGAGGTGAGATCGATAATGCAATAGGCGAGAGAGCCGAGACCCGGCATCCGCTTCCTCCACGAAACATTTTACGCGCGTATTTTTATTCCCCGCGTGCGCCCGTCTTTTTCTCCGTTTTTTTCCCCCCCGTTTTCCGCGAGTCGATTCGCGTTTTGTTCTCTCGCCGCTGTTTCTCAATTTGGGAACAACTAAAAAGATATTATTAACGCGGCCGAGTCCTTCCGAGACGAGCCAAATTCTTGCTTGCTTATGCTAGACTGTTTATCGTTGCGAAAATATTTTTGGTAATCGGTCAATTCCGTTCGGGACCATTGAAGAATTCGCGGTAACGAGCCGCGATAAGGCACGCGGTTAAACCGTGAAAAACAGGAGCGATTCAAACTGTTGCACAGTTGGCGATGCTTGGATACTTTTAGATCTTCGCTCATTCGGCCTTTAACGCTAATACTACCATCGAAAGTAAACGAAACGGTTTAATCTGCAACAATTACGAGACTGGCTTTACTTAGATTTCCTGCGGTCCCTTATATTAAATTTGCGGTACACGCCATTTTTACGCGCTTCAAATTGTTTAATTTAGTTAAAAGTCTAAATAAACGTATGTTTGATATTTTTATGAAACGCTGGAAAAAAGCTAGAATTGAAGAAACGATTTTCTTTAATTCTAGAAAGTAACTTTGTTATTTTTGGAGGTATCGAAAAAATTTATTAACAAAAGTTTTTCAGTTCAGGGAGATGTATAACACGAACGTAATAATTTTCCCGCAGCCGGAGAATTTTCGGAGATTTCAAGGTCATCTTCACTTGTTTATTTATAATTATATTTTTTTTTAAACATTAGTTGATGCAGCTCGAGATTTGCTATAAAAGGGTATTGACGCAATTATGTCGAAAAATTAGTTTAGCAGATATTCAGTGTTATTTTCTGATGAAAGTACATTTACGAATCGTTAGACTCTTAATGTACATAACATGCACTTTTTGGCACGGCAGAATCCACAAAATTGAAGTTAAAATATTTGCTCTAATCTAATAAATTTTCGACGTACATAAATTAATACTTCTTTTGTGGAAAATATCGAGCTGCATCAAATAATGTTTAAAAAAATATATGGTTATAATTGAAAAAGTGAAGATGACCTTGAGATCTCTGAAAGTTTTCCAGCTGCGAAGAAAATTCATGTTATACATCTCTCTGAACTGAAGAACTTTTATTAATAATGTTTTTCAATACCTCTAAAAATAACGGAGATACTTAAGTAACCTCCTTTAGCTGAGACACCCTGTATAATTGTGAACAAATACATGTGGACACCTTTGAAAAGGAAATAACTTTTTTCAGATTGCACAAAATTAATCGAATCTCTTTTTGGGACGTTGGAATGACTAGTTTACTAGACAATATGTAAACAATTTCTTGCCGAAATCGTAATTACGAGGAATGGCAAAGAAAAATTTTAAGATCATGTTTTTTAATCTTTTTATCCAAGCGTAGAACGAAAATTCAGAGAATGCAATTTTTAGGTCCCGCTAACTTATATACATGCTGAAAGTTTTGTCGAAATCGGTCGACGCAAAGACAAGCGACCGATATTGAAAGATGACGGTATCTCTAGATTTATTGAAAGAAATTTATTACATTATTTCTCATGGAAGCATTTTTATAACTTCAATAATTGTAAAATGAAAAATATGAAAGTGAAAAAAGTGAAAAAAAGAAAAAAAAATACTCTATACTGTTATATTACTTAGTTAATAAAAAATAAAAAGTATCTCTAGATTTATTGAAGGAAATTTATTACATTATTTCTCATGGAAACATTTTTATAACTTCAATAATTGTAAAATGAAAAATATGAAAGTCTTTTCGAACGGCTAAATAGTTAAAAAGTCGGTTAAGAAAGAACGCAGCAGGGTTGAAGAATTGCCTATTAATTAGCGTAACGCAAAATCGTATTTGACAGGCCAGAGACATTCAGAAATGTCACCAGCGGATAAAGCGAAATCGATAAATCGACGAATTCATGTTCCAGAGTTTGCTCGCGCGTAACCCGAGCCCACTTGTCGCACAGCACGCGGCCGATTTTTACGCGCTCCAAGTTTTTGTGGCCGGGCGCGGAGGTTCGGTCAATTTTAGAGGCAAATATTCAGGCTAATTTTAACTATCGCTTGCGTCATCGACTCTCGCACACTGGAATGTATCTATTTTGCACGGCACGGCTCGGTACACCGATTGATCTCCGTGATTTCTTCTGAAATCGGTGGTTACGTTTTATCTTAACAAACGTTCCGAAGAAATAAGTTCAACGACGTCGCACGTGGCGGGCTGATCGGAAGAAAGATCGACCGCGACGATTTTCATTGGCAGATGTCTGCGATTTCCGCGACGTTGTGACCGATCGTTCTATTTCGAGACGTTATGGAGAACCGAACGAAGGTCAAATTTGAATCGGTGAGCGCGCGATTCGCGAGCGAGTGTCACCCTCGCCATCTATCCCCGGACGCCTCACTATGAACAACCGCGACATCGACGGGCATTCGTCGATAAAACGACACGTCGGATTTCCGTTTCATTCGACCGTCGGTTAATAATACATTGTGCCATAGAAACCGAAAATAATAATATTACTGTTAAAATACTGGATAAAACATATCGGTCCATTCGTCACATTTTGGCAGAGCACGAAGAATCGGGGGACAGTGACAAACGTTTACTTGTACAGGTTCTTGTTGAACAAACGGTCGTGAGTCTCTCAAAAATTTCATGACCAATGGCCTGGTAATTTTAACCCACCGACCACCGTAGACGAATCATTTATTGTGTAGTTTCCTAATTTCAGAGCTATATATTCGAAAGCGACGTCGATAACACTTTTAATTTCGTCCATGCGACAGCTTCGAAATTCAAACGGAAATGGCGCGCAATTCAAATTGCATGCTGCCGTTGACGCATCTCGCATAAATTACGGCTGCGCACGCAATATCGTAAATCCTTTTATGGGATATAAAATTTTATTATATATATATATATATATAATAAATTATATATTTATTTATATATAATAAATTATATATTTATTTATATATAATAAATTATATATTTATTTATATATAATAAATTATATATTTATTTATATATAATAAATTATTTATTTATTTTATATAAAATGTAAATCGTCGTCCACCTTGTTCACTAATGTCTGTCAGCGGTTAGATGGTTTATTGACTCGTAAACATGTTCTACATACCGATTGCGCCGGAAGTGGGGACGTGCGATTGTCGTAGGCTCTGTACGCGCCGGTTCGAGCGCCGTTCAATGATCCGTAACCTGGCGTCGCATTGCTACCGACGTGATTTCCCTCCGACGACACTGTGTTCTGCAGGTCTGCCAGTAGCGCGTCTGAAATCAGCAACACCAATCGTCGATCAATAATCGAACAAAACGTGCGAACAAAACTGTCCTGTGTCTTTCACGGTATTACATCAATTTTCAATTTATACACGCTGTAACAGTTGCACAATAGCCAGCGACAATTAATTATGTATACTATACTATAATTCTCGCTATTCCTAATTGAACAGTGAGAACCGAAACGTGCTCCTTCGCGCAATCGTGTTACGCTTTCCCAACTGCCGCACGATTCTACGATTCGACCGAAACCTATACCACGGTTCTTGTATAAATTCAAACATTCGAATCATGAGTGCGCGTGTCTAACCGCGCGCACGAACATTTGAATTTTCTATATTTGCCGGTGACGTCGCCGTTTCCATTGCAGAATCGAGCAACGATGGAACGGTGTCATAAGCGCGTCGAAGGTATGCGGTATGCGGACGGTCTGATACCACGAAGCGAGGGAAAAACAACAATGACGCGGCCCTCTTTGATAACTAAAGCTTCAAGGTAAACACGAAAGGTGGCCCTGGCTGCGCGGACAACCGAACGTTTAAGAGGTCTGGGGATCATTTACCGAGGCTGAAAATATTCGTCTCGGCCTTCTCGGTGTTGTACACTTCGTAGAGGCTTTCCATTTGTGCCTGGGACTCGCATGCTTCCTCCATCGTGAACGAGCCACGGCACACCCACTGACTCCGCGACGGATTTCCGGTCGGGGCCGAAACTACGTCCGAGACACACTCGCGGCGAGTTGCTACGGGGAACTAAAGTTTTTTCCCTGTTCCACACCTACGTACGGGAATTAATTCGTCACCACCGTAGATACGAGCCGCGGGACGCTGAATCGGCGATAAAAAGACTTTCCACACCTACTCGCCGAGTTCGCGATAACTTCTCTTCTGGCTATCTCGCTTTACCGAACGGAGAGAAGACGATTCGACGCGGCGCTTACGCGTTCAAAAATCTTGCCATCGACGAGGAACAAGTTCTAGACGCATCTGCGTGCTCGAGAAATTTGTCACCGATGAAAGACGAGCCTTTAGATTTTTCTGCGCGTTCAGGACCCAATGGGAGCCCTCGACGGACCCGACACTGCCAGTGTCACGTGCCACATGGAATGTGGAAAGGATTAGCGCGCGAACGTGCGTGCCCCGATCGGCGAAACGGTACTGATTGTCAATAAAGCAGCTCGGTAAGACGACCGGCTTCGAGACCAGAGCGTAGATGCCTGGAGGAGGCGAATCGGTCTGGAGAAGGAGAAAGAACATGGAGGGAGTACGCGATCTTAACGAAGGAAGTAGAAACGCGACCGTCGCACAGTGTTCCGGATAGTTCATGCTAGCTGGACGCAGCCCAAATTAGCCTTTTTTATACGTTTTTTCAAATCATTCACCGCACACTTGCATTCGTTCGATAGTATTGATTATATTATTATTATTATAGTTTATTTATTATATTATTATTATTATAGTTTATTTATTATATTATTATTATTATTATTATTATAGTATTTGGTCCCTTAAGAGACCAAAACTATTTATTTCCAGTTTACACACTGCCAAGCGCAGACTGTTTTTCGAACGAAGAGAAATTTTTTCCTGAAAATTTTTGTATCAAATATAGAGAAGACATATTCATTTTTTAANTCCATTTGTGCCTGGGACTCGCATGCTTCCTCCATCGTGAACGAGCCACGGCACACCCACTGACTCCGCGACGGATTTCCGGTCGGGGCCGAAACTACGTCCGAGACACACTCGCGGCGAGTTGCTACGGGGAACTAAAGTTTTTTCCCTGTTCCACACCTACGTACGGGAATTAATTCGTCACCACCGTAGATACGAGCCGCGGGACGCTGAATCGGCGATAAAAAGACTTTCCACACCTACTCGCCGAGTTCGCGATAACTTCTCTTCTGGCTATCTCGCTTTACCGAACGGAGAGAAGACGATTCGACGCGGCGCTTACGCGTTCAAAAATCTTGCCATCGACGAGGAACAAGTTCTAGACGCATCTGCGTGCTCGAGAAATTTGTCACCGATGAAAGACGAGCCTTTAGATTTTTCTGCGCGTTCAGGACCCAATGGGAGCCCTCGACGGACCCGACACTGCCAGTGTCACGTGCCACATGGAATGTGGAAAGGATTAGCGCGCGAACGTGCGTGCCCCGATCGGCGAAACGGTACTGATTGTCAATAAAGCAGCTCGGTAAGACGACCGGCTTCGAGACCAGAGCGTAGATGCCTGGAGGAGGCGAATCGGTCTGGAGAAGGAGAAAGAACATGGAGGGAGTACGCGATCTTAACGAAGGAAGTAGAAACGCGACCGTCGCACAGTGTTCCGGATAGTTCATGCTAGCTGGACGCAGCCCAAATTAGCCTTTTTTATACGTTTTTTCAAATCATTCACCGCACACTTGCATTCGTTCGATAGTATTGATTATATTATTATTATTATAGTTTATTTATTATATTATTATTATTATAGTTTATTTATTATATTATTATTATTATTATTATTATAGTATTTGGTCCCTTAAGAGACCAAAACTATTTATTTCCAGTTTACACACTGCCAAGCGCAGACTGTTTTTCGAACGAAGAGAAATTTTTTCCTGAAAATTTTTGTATCAAATATAGAGAAGACATATTCATTTTTTAAATAAAACTTCGTTGATATATTTTCATCGAAACAATCGTGCCTATTTTATAATTGCCTAATTTAACCTTGACATAACCTTGACATAACCCTGCAGTTAATCAGCTAGGCTTTGTATCGTTTTACGGATGCCAGAGTACCGAGGCCAGAGTACCTTTTCCAGTAGTTTTAGCGTTAAAGAAATTGTATTCCGCAAAAGAAGCATAAAGATACTGTTTCGTCTAGGTTAACTGCCATCTCTCGGAACGCAACGACAGAAATGTAAGATAGTCCGCGGCTTCTTCGCACGAAGAAGCGGCATGTCAGAACCTGTGTGCACACCGTGGTCCCGAATCGAGCAAGCGTACATGGTTGTTCGCGGAATCGGAAGCGTTCTCTGAACCGTATACTAGATCGCATTCTTCTGCGAAAGTTACGGAAGCTAAGGTCATCGTAACTGTGTTTTCGACCCTGCCCGATTACGAAATATTATATCCTCGACACGAATGTATCGTAATGCCGATGAGGAAAGACCGCAGCTGGGAACCGTCGATTTCAACATTGAAATGCACTCGCGTCGACGGCGCTTCGATCAGTGTTTGTTTAACCTATAAACCGAAATAACTTGTCGCTTTTAATTTGCATTCGATAATATCGTACATTGTATTCGCGTGGAATGAATCGTTTTAAAACTCTGTGCATGTATTTGTGGCCAAGATGTCAACCGATCAACACTCACTGTTGCAACTTCCCTTTTATAAACTGTTTATCGGTCGATAAAGTAGGTCGTATGTCTTGTACCGCGAATGTAAACGCGGATGCCGCTTGTTCGTCCGTTCGCGCGGGATTCGTGATTTGTAAATCCATTAGAGAAGGATGATTTTGTATAGAGAATTCTGCAGTTTTATTGTATTCACTATATATTTTATGTTACTGTAACGAATCCGTATACTAAATCTAAGGAACGGTAGTGGTCCCATTGAATGAGGCATGACATTGGCAACCCGCCTGCCGGAGCTTCCCCGAATCTATTTTATACTTATGAATCATACAGTCGATTCGGACATTAATATTGCGTAGTACGCGCAACGCAGCATCATTGTAAATCTCTGAAGCGTTAAGCGCCTGTCTGGTATGCTGTAACATGATCGATAAATTATACGATAGAATTCCAAGTCGTACTTAATCTTCCCGCAGAGACCTGGAATATAGGTATGATGAAGAATATGACACGCAGAAACGCAATTGACGTAATACGATTTACTGGTAGAATCGACATGGTCGTTTTGTAATATGATATCTTATTCGATGTAAACATTCTCTCGAACATCTGGACAGACGATGGCGCCAAAAATTATGCCAGATTGAAACTGCTAAAGTATTGCCGGGTATAAACAGCAGGATAGGTCTCAATTGTTAGATCCAAATATTTAACGCACAGAAATCAACACGGTGGCCGTTTATAGTGGCTATATCGGAACACGAAGTGCGCGATCGATAAATTGAACAATGTTTACGTGTAACCGATAGGCATAAACCGTTCGAGTGCGGCTACTTACTGATATATTGTTCCCAGCGTGCGTGTTTCTGGATAGTCGCCAAACGAACCGGTGCGATTGGTGACACGGATCTCTTATTGTCGGTCATCTTACAACGCTTTCAAACGGAGTGAAATCAAAGTCTCGTGAAACGTGTATGAAACGATAACGATCGGCTAGAGCTGCAAGTTCACAAATCTACACAGTATCGAGAAGCGAAACCGGTCGCTTTTTTGACTATCCGTGTCTTGAAATCACCGAGCACTGATTTCCGGAGACCCTACGACCTTAGATTATAAACACAGGGAGGGGCGGGCGATTCGAACGGAGAAAAACCGTTAAAAATAAACATCACTCTGTTGCCAGTTATGTTTACTATGGACATTATGCGGAACCCCCGGCGGAGCACGTGTTGCCGCGACGTGGACGAATGCAAAAATAAATGTTTCCTTGAACGATCGTTTAGAAACAATTACTAAGCGAATTTAATAATATATAATTATTATATATTATATATACTATATATAATTAATTTAATCGATTTAAAACTAATCGAATTACTAATAGAAATCTCGTCGAATAAACATTCGTTAATAGCAAGAAATCAAAGCTGTATTACCAAATAACAAGCATATCGTTGCCAACAACGTTGTCCTCTGTTACAAAATGAAAATAAATTATATTTGTATGCAATGAAATTCGCGGGACGGTTTCCGTGTTATAATAAAAACTAAATAATATATGTTACGAAATTAACAATGTGTATCTATGTGTCCGTACTCTTTAATCACGCGACGATCTGAAAATTACAGGGTAGCTCACGTGCGAGAATCAAGAGTTAACGAGATTATCGATAGAAGCCGCGGATGTGCTGCAGGATCAGATAGAACTGGCAGCACGTGTTGTTTCTCAGGGTGCATCTATAGTGTCTGAGTTACGTGAATTCATCTCCCCCCCCCCCTTTGCCCCTGCGTTAACCTCCCCCTCTTCAACCTTGTCGAGTTACCTGTCTCCGTCGCACGGAGACGCACGATTCTTCGGAGACTTCGTTCACGCACGATAGTTATAAGCGAACGTTTTCACCTAGATATTCACCGCGACGACAAACTCCCCAAAAATAACCACAACTAGAGACTTGCATCGATTTTGTCAGGCGTCTCGTGTGTGGACGAAGACAGCGCTACAAACTTCTGTAAAACGAAAACACCTGATCTTGTCAACACTGAGGTTACAAAAAGTGTCAACACGACCTGTTCGAGATAGAATACTTTCTGTCCGTTCATAGAGATTCCTAAGACACGAGAAAACGTTTCTATCTGTCATAGGAGACAACAGTCTGGTGTACAAATGGTATCAATGGCAATTCATGGTGTCACAGTTCATGAATCCGCTAATGGGTTATTCGATTAGCACGGAAAATTGCCGGTCAACAATGTGTTAACTTCATTTGTGAAACTGGTCAGGTCATCATAACCGATGGATAAGCTGATTACCAACATACAAAAACTACTTTCTAATGCTACCGTCGACTCACAGTAAAAAAACCTTACTAAACTATTGCTCCGCATATTATTACCGAATATGACGTGGTCACGTGTAAGTCCAGTTTAACCTATTGAAGCAATTACTTTTGAAATGTGTAGGCAGTTCAATCGTGCGTAGCTCCAGCCCAATATGGATGCGCATAGATCGATTACGGTACGATCCAGGAAGAAGGAATGCCTACGCGTGTTTACCTTGGATCACCGAGTGATCTTCGATCTAATGGCATGCGCTGCAAACAGGCGTAGCTTCCGCGGATCCATAAAAAAGCTTTCAGCAGGGATTCCATATAAACAGGAACACGAAGTTCCAGTATATTTATAGTACGCGCTGCTCCGATGGTGTAGCAGAGAACAATAGCATAGAAAAAGAACACGAATAAAATTCGAGCAACCCCAGATGCGCTCGTCGCACTCTCGTTCCGGCCGGTAATATTCGTAACAAGCCTGCCACGAGGAATGATCGATGCGCGAAACACCGGAAACTGTTTCATGAATTTTCTTTGAAATATGCACATTACAAATTGCGCAACGCCCACAGACGTCTGCAAAGAATTTTACGATTCAACACTTGCGGTTGCGTACGAGTAGGAAAAGAATGACGCGAAACACCAAATTTGGTAAACGCGTGGTGCTTACATTGTATAGTTTCCCGTTACGCGCTGTATAACTATATCTAAACTTACCAGTCATGTTCAATGCGTGGAATTAGTTTCAACCGTTCCGTCGCTCTAATCTCTTGCCCGGAACGGAAAACCGCAACACGATTTACACGAAACACCGCACGTAAAGGTTTCCTTATGATCTTTAACCGCACGTCTAAGTAGAAACAGGACGTTTTTAGACAGACATACATACGTAGACTTCAAACCTTTCACCCGACAAATTAATAGGATACAGCAGAAACTAGTTCACGCAACTATATTTTTCGGATACTCTTTTGCATGGCAACGTGAACTAAGGAAATAATGATTGTCCAAATTACATTTAACGAAAGATCGTGACAACAGTGTGCTCATCTTCGTTATCGCTTACAAATAATAAACACTGTCGATAAGGAAGAAACATCGCGTGGGTAAGACAGATCTCTATACGAAATTTAGTGTTATGATTATCCGATAGGTGGCGCGCGGGTCTCGGCACCCGTTGCACTATATATTTTCAATTCGATTTCGTTCGATGGGTACAGAGATCGAGCACATTCTTTGAAGCATGCATTTCCATAAAAAGATCGTCGGTAAATAATGACTTGAACAATTATTTCAGAAAGTTTAGTGTCAAGGCAACCCACGTCGTAGGTGAAAGGTACTGTAGAAAAAAAATCTTGCGAACTGATGCACCGTGAGTCATCTCTTCGGACGGAATCGAGTGCGTATCTTAAAAATAATCCCCGGACGGTTATAATGATTTTGGGAATGGTCAATGACGCGACACGGAAATGCCAGCACGTTGAGGCGACTAACTTGCGCATGAACCTTTGAAAATATGCCAGAAATACAATTTTGACAGCGGTTCAAGTGCGCTATAAATTTCTCGATCTGCGTTCACGATTTGCATTAGCAAATTAACTAACTACGTTCGAGTAGCCGTGACCTGTGCTTCAATCAAAAGTTATCGCATCAATGGACTCGGTTTTATTTCTAAACCGATTAGTGAATGTATCATTACTAGACTCTGTGGATTTTATGCATCTGGAGTAAACATTCGTACGCGAAATTCGATAAACCGACGCTCCATTATATTCGAGTAATCCTTGCATTTTATCTTAAACCCGAAGTTCGTAAACATGTAGAACTTTATAAATAAATGCGTAAATCGCTGATCTGCGTAGAAGCGCAGGAACGCTTAATTTGCCTGCTTTGAAATGTTTTGACGCGAGTGAAGTACCGACAAAAAAAGAGAAGTTGCGTGACAGGCAATTGAGCTTAATTTAAAAGACCACTATGACATGTTATCGCCCGGCTCTCCCGCGACTGCGGGTTCTATCGTGAAAACGTGCTGAATTAGTACCACAAAAAGGGACCACGTCGACGATCATTTCTAATTCATATTTCCGACCGGCAGTCTTATTTGATATGCAAGGAGGTCGCACGCACAGTGGGAGGGGGGAAAAACTATTCATACATCGTACCCTATGAATTTCAATTGTCCGACGATTTCACGGTACAGTAAACATTATTTGAAGCAAATGATTTCGTAGGCGTTCACTTTTCTATAAGGTAAACGGCGTATGAATACTTTTTTCCATCACTACGTACGTGCGCGCGTGCATTCACGGGTATATTAGGAATGATTCTCGCTCTAACGTCCACTCCTTTCCTACATCCCCATTTAGAAAACAAGAACACGTTAAAATAAGCACGGCGAAGCCGGCGAACGTAAAAGTAAATGATCGGAAACTCACATCCAGGCGGCAGTCCCTTTTTCACGGTGATTTTGTAGGGCTGATAGATAGCGCCCGGATCTACCTTTCCGTACATGCTTCTATCCATTGCCATGCTTTTTCGTGATTCTTATAAGTTGCACCACTTTACAATGATCGCACCGATATCCATCAACGTTTCTCACACACGTGTACCAGAAATCCGACGAGCGCGCGTATCAATAGTACGTATTATACTATTATGCAGCAGTTTTGCCGCGGCTATGTTTTCTCTTTGCAGTCTATCGCGAGCGAGCCAGCTGTATAGACGATCGATAGGTGGCGGGGATGATGCACACACCGAACCAACGGCCACTTGTTGAATGCCGACTGCGAATTTTACACGTTACAAGCACGCGAGTACCTGGATTCTCTCGCTTGCCGTCTTCTATTACCGAAAAAATGATCCATCGACAATTACTTCGACCCGATCTCTGATCCTCTTTGTCGCGCTTTAAACGGGGATGTACGAGGGAAAGGGTAGTTGTTTCCTTTTTCTACTGTCGCTAACTCTCGACTCGCTAGAACTACCGAACAATCATTATAATTATGAATTTTTTTATGAAATTTACAAAACAATTATTTTCTTATCAGCGTTTGCGTTAGATAAAACAGTCTTATCGTTACAATTTTCTTCAGTGTAAGGAGTGTACGTGAGTTTTGAGTCTTAGAAAATATATATAGTTCAACGTTTGTGAGCCGTGGTATGCGCAAGCGAACGGAATGTTTCTACGATAAATATTGGTAGAAATGAATTTGTTTCGAGCAAACCGGCAGTTCTAGCGTTGATACGTCGAAACGATGGAGGTGTATACTATCGACTGTTCCGTGATGGTGATGGACCGCGCTTGACCAAGGGAAAACGAGAAGTTCAAACGTGCAAGTGTATTTCAGGCGCTCGCCCGCAATCGCGGTCCGTCGATGCTCTCCCCGCGACGCTAAAAACACGAGGACAACGCCTCTGTGAATACACTAAAAATACGTAGAATCGTTGGCACATAACAACTCGGAGAACACTGTGGTCCACGATATCGCACAGATTCTAGAAGTAGTCTCTTCCGGTTCGGAGTGTCATCCCCACAGAACCACGGCTCAATTAATTCTTAATCTGTTACCTGAGGGGAAGATGAGTTATGCATTTGGAGGTATCTTCCAATTGTTTCCCACTTTTCCATTCAACATTTATCTGCACATTCTTTTATTCAAATCGGTATTGAGTGTCTAGATATCGTGATAGCGATTCATTATCATGGACTAATATTTAGTAATCGATTGATCAACAGCAATTTCTGACGATTTGATTCTTTCGAATCGTAAGCATTAAATAATCGATCCAATTAAAAAGTTCAGTCGACTAATGTCCAATTTTTATTACACGTAAATAACATTAACACATGCTAAACTAATTTGTTAGTGCATTAATCGAGTAATAGGCATAATCAGTATTTTATAGCTTGCAAATGTTACCTCTTGTAGATAAATTAATATTCGAAACTTTATTCTAAGGAAAGTAATTAATTTACTTATTAAATATTTATGTTTTGTAATAAATGAATTTCATGTAACTTGAATGCTAACCAAGAGGCGCAAGATATGGACGAACGCGTAATCAACAAAGTTGCATTGTAAACGTCACCATGGGAATTAAGATAATGCGACTTTTTCTTACCATTAACATGTTTTTTTATTTGACTTTCGTAATCGACACCACATTGATCTATTTAACATACGTAGAACACCCGAACACAATTATCATTATTAATAGAAATAAATGTTTCCGGAACAAATACATGTACTCTTAAATAAAAACTTAATGACTGTGGCCTGCTTCACTTTACACAATTGTAAACATCTTGAAGATAAGCAAACATCTGTTGGATAATTTATCAATATTTGTATGTTATATATACATACAAGTATTCAATTCAGACAAAACAATCCGCAACAGCTTATTATTTTGTATTTTAAAAAAGAGACCAACGAGAATAAGCGTGAGATAAAATCTAAACAAAACAATGTTACAGCATAAAAATCACAATATCTAGGTATTCTGACAGTCTGAGAGGTTCATATTTGAGGTTATCTTACGATTAAGTATGATTAATCTCAAAATTACTCACCTAAGTCATCCATACTTAATTTACGTCAATTTCGCATACACTGTTTTACAAATCACACACAAACTTCAACAATTTCGGCACGGTATTGTGGAAAAAATCCGTAAAAAACTGTATGCCCAACCAACTTGTCCGGGTTGGGCAAACCAAACATCAAATATGGAGAACCCGGTCCTCGGAACACAATTTCCAGTTATCTTGTCTAACCTTTACATGAGTCGACAGAGTACCGCTCGATCTAAACTTCCCCCCACTTTTAACACAATAATCACAACAATAACAAAATCATATAAATAATGTTTTATTTATCTTAGTGTTTCAGATTTACAATGATAAAAATATTTCTAACAATTTTAATTGTTCTACCAAGAGGAAAAATCGTTGAACGAATTTGTCACAAGCTTCTTCTTTTTTGCCACAGGTTCGACACTGGATGCAATCTTCTCCACTCTAAAAAATAAAATTAAACAGTTAACAATGTCTTAATAATATTTCAAATATAGTCGAAACGCTATGAGACAACGATTTCCGTCATTCGAGATTCGACTGAATGTATGTTTATATATTGTAGTATTACCTGTCTTCCGCTTTGTCCATTTTTACATATTTTCCTACACCCGATCGATATACTTTTAGTTCATTCTGTTCCTTCTTATCTGAGGATTTATTTTTTGCAGCTTCTTGAGCTAATCGTTCAACTTCAGCTGCGCGTTCAGCAGCTAATTGTTCGTCCGCTTCTTGGAATGGGTCAACGAAAACTTGAGCTTTCTGAATAATTATATCCTCTATCGGTCTATCTTTGTTATCTACATCGACCTTTTCAATAGCATTTAATGTGTCAAGTCCACCCACTATTTTGCCAAACACGGTATGCTTGCGGTCTAAATGTCTGCATGATCGAAACGTGATGAAACTGTAATTAAAATAAAGTGATTAAAGACAATGTTTATAAACATCCGAATGTATATTATAAAATTTATATATACAATTGCGATCCATTTGTGTTTGGACCAGAATTTGCCATGGATAAAATTCCTCTTCCCTGGTGAACCAGATTCGGCTTAAACTCATCTTCGAATTTTTTCCCCCAAATGGATGTTCCTCCATTACCAGTATTTGTAGGATCACCACCTTGTATCTAAACAAATTCAAATTAGAAGTATTAATATCCTTGTCCGTTGAATTTTTAAATAATAAAACTGTCATATTTACCATAAAATTTCGTATAGATCTGTGAAATTTCGTTCCATCATAGTAACCGTTCTGGCAATGTTTTATAATATTTTCGCAAGTTTTCGGAACAAGATCGCAGTGAAGTTCCAAATTTAAAGCGCCAAAATTCGTGAGCAACCTCACGTAACCTTTCTTTTTGATTCGTTCGTATCGTACTAAATCTTCTGCTATAATTGCTGCTTGATGTGTTGTTTCTGTTGGCATTACGGTTGATGTAAAACCAGCAGCTACTGCTCCAGTGGAGTAATGTGCCTATATATATATGTATACATAGCTATATATATATTTCTTTTTTTATATATGAATAAATTACAATACAGAATGGAAATATTAGAATACAAACCGCATTAAATTTGTCTGCTTTTGGTTTGGAAATTTCTTGCTTGCTTTCAGTTTGTTTGAACTCTCTATCCAATTCAGCTAATATTTCTTTTGTTTCCATAGATACTGTCTTTAATTTTGCATTTGGGTTATTTCGTTCCTTTGCAGTTTCTAGAAGAACATAATCCATTTTCACATATTCAAATTAATGGAACTAGACATATTCAAACATACGAAGCCTACAATATTACCTTCATCCTCTACTTTTATGTTATTTTTGATGTGATGAAATGTAGATAAATTAAATTTTGTTGCATTACTTGGGTCCTGAATTGTAATGATATCTTTTCTTGTGAAAGCTTCATCACTTATTAAATCTTTCCAATTGCGTGTCTTTATATTCAATTGCTCCACTGCCTATAAAAGAAATACTGATAAGAAACTGATAAGAAATTAAATATCTGGAACTAGGTTTTATTAATATAAAATTTGTATTAATATACAAACCTCATACGAAAATACATTTCCACTTGTTTTAATAGCAACAATATGAGAATGTTTAGTAAATAGTTTGAAGAGTACTGGACAATGATATTGTCCTTCCATATTTTTAGCAAAGTTTAACTTGATCAATGTCTTTGGATCCAAAGGTTTCCCTGTTATAGGATTATGTTTGAATCTTTTCAGATATTTCAATATTGGTTCTAATTCAAACACATTCCCTTGAGAATCACAGTATGGATGTCGAAAGGGTTGTAACGATAAGCAACAATGGTCATAAGGTAAACGACGGAATGTTGTATCTTCTGTTTCCTCCGAAGTTCTTGCCTTTTTACCACCATATAATGTGGACCATTCTGTGTACGTTAAATACCTATAAAGAACAGAATGGATCGATAAAAAAATTTTGTAGGGCAATAAAACATTTATGAATGAGAGTAGTGAGAAAGCAAATGTTATGATATATATGTAACTTTTGTAAAGCAAATAAAGATTATATCATTTTATTGTTTAAAAGTGAAATTGAATCTAATTTTTACACCATTATATTCAAAACTAAATAACTTGGAACGAAATCATTTTTACTCTGAAGTCCAAATCTCTTACAATAAACAATATAACCTCTTGATATCTTACATTTTGTCCTTTTGATGTTGACGTTTACCCATTTTGACGTCTTCTTTTAAACTTTTAGTCAGCGAATCAATTAACTATACTACTATTGTCTCTTGTGAATTAGAGGGGTTATTCTAAAATAATAATATTATTATCTATCCCACTGTATTTTAGAACTCTAATTGAATGTATACTATATACAGTAGTGACACACTGTAGTAGTAGTAGTAGTAGAATTATAAAGCAGGTAGAGAAACTGCTTCTTCTCTGATTGGTTGACACTTCNGATGTCATGGATTTCAACCAACAATAATTCGACCAAGAACACTACAGATGAATGGAATAATAAAGGCGCGAAATGGATTTTGATATTTTTAGTCACAGACGATGTAAGTGCAGTACTGCCTCACCATAGTAAGCCAAGGCGGAGGCAACTGGCTTAGAATTATAAAGCAGGTAGAGAAACTGCTTCTTCTCTGATTGGTTGACACTTCACAGCTAAACAGTGCTGCTCTCACAATTTTAGACAAAGAGAGGAAGTGGTGAGTGAGCAAGAGAACATGACATCAGTCCAACTGCAAGTGAAACACCGACGACCAATGTAGTTTGTCTCACTTTACCATGCTTATGATCTCACTGTATTCGCGCATTCGTTTGCCTGGCACTTCGTCTGAAACGCTTGGCGCGATATTCGACTTATACTTTCCGCCCCGTATGATTCTCGACCGCACAATCCAACGTATTTGCGAATGCCTTGAAACAACAATTGTAGGCTGTCTACTGTAGTTGACTGAAGACACTTGAATGACACGAAGACACCGATGAATGATCAATGACAAAATAACACAATAATTGATCAGTTTCGAGTTTTTATACCGTTTCATGGACAGAAACTGATTGGCCAGTAATGCTATGGAAGGGGATGTAAAAGTGACGTAGCACGCAGTGCCGCAGGTAGCAAGAAACCCCGAACGGGCGACCGAAGCGGTGCGTGCTAACGACCCCGTTATAAAAAATGCTGTCGATGAGGTGTGCATTGTTCGAAAGTGCAAAAATTACTTTATTACCGGAGAAAAGACGGCTCGAAAAAATCATACACTTAGAAACTGCAATAAAGAAGACTGTGGCTCTACGAAATTGAAAGCCTAATGAGTCACCTTTTGTTAAACAAGGGATATTGACGTGAATGAACAATCCCCGTTAATAAAATGTTTTTTTAGAGATAAAAGAAAACGGTAATTCGTCTCGGAGAAAATTAAGCGGACGCAGCACTAAAATTCCGTTGAAGGACGGAACAACAATCATTTCTACAATTATTAAAATTTTCGAAAACCCGTGAGCTACATTTTAGCTAATGGTATCTACTTCATGAATCTACAAAATTTTGTTAATTCAGTTATTCCAATGTGAATTTATTAACTGGGACGACTAACAAACAAAATTCTACTGTATGAGAAGAAGTATCGAAAGTAACGAATAATTTCTTAATTTTATACCATTTTTACTGTTAAAAATTTGAAAAACAAAACTAAAATTTGCATTCATATTTTTTTTAGAAAAAGACTACATATTTAATATAGTAATTACCTACAAAAAATTTTTAAACTCAGAGTTTTGCAGAATTGGAGTTAAGAATTATTAAGAATTGGTACAATTTGCGATCATTTATACAATTATTGAAATGTTCGAAAACCCGTAAGTTACATTCATAGCTAATTGTTTCTAGTTTATGAATCTACTGAATTTTTTCTGTATCCATCTCAGCACTTGTCAACTGAGACGGCTAATAATTAATATTTTACTCTACGAGAAGGAGTTTCGTAAGCAACGAATAATTTCACATTTATCGAACCTCGCGCATACTTTCATGTCCAAGCGAAATCGCACCACCATCCTCATCCTGCACAGATCGTTAACTTGCGCCGTTGCGATAACAAAACAACTAGACTGAGAAGGCCTCCACAACTATGTATCCCCATCTTGCGCACTTCGTGGCCCGAGATTTGGGGCTATGAACCGCCCAGCCTAGCGAGCTCGAGGCAGAGTTCGAAATTATTCGAATTGTTTCAAATAAATATTTCACTAATACTATTGTCCCAATTTCGCTAATATAATGAATTCTTGTCAGGGCGCCAAGCAAATCGCGACGAGCATCCGCACAATTACGTTTACGCTTACGATTACGAGCACGATACGACTACGAACATGATAACGATTATGATTTTCGCTACAGTATAATAATAATATTTGATTAGAAATTATGTATTTCTTTTTTAGTGATTACTAACAATAATATATTAAAAGAATTACACTAATTGATACGTAACAAATTTAAGAAATTCCCTATATTTGACAAAGGATAATTTCGGAAGTTGCACAGACTCCGTGTCCTAACAGAAATGAATATTTTCTATACATTTTCCTTTAAATAACTGTGAGAAGATTATTTCCCGATGGGAACCAATTTGGAAGTTCTAGTTATTTAAAGACGGCCGCCTCACACGCGTCGCTCACAGGCGTGCTGCTCGGTTTCGGGTATTCCATAAAACGTTACATGTATGAAATATAAGTATGAAATACATATTTAGAAAGTAAAAAAATAGTTCGTATAATTATATCTAAACAATTTTTTAAAAATCAAAACTAGTAACGAAAATTTATTGAAATTTATTGTTTAATAAATGCAAAAAATAATTAATTATCAGTACCTAAAAATTACTATTTTTTAATTATTTTTAGTGAAAATTTCATTGCAATATCTCTAATGGTTCAAAAGAGTTATAACAACTTGTCACTGAATTCTTCAAACCAGACCACTGTACCGCAAGCATGGTAAACTGTGACGGTCTAGGTTTGTTGTTCTGTCTCTCTCGATCATCTTCCGTTCTCTTTCAACATTAAAAAACACTTCGTTCACAGAAGCTTAAAATTTGCGAATACATCGGTCGATGCCGATCACTGTCAGAGTCATGTGAATAAACCATGTGATATGAAATTGGAAAAATAAAGTGTGACGTAGGAAAAAAGAACTTTGTCTACAATAGGATTCGAATTCCAGCGTAGTGTCTCCATATGTCTAAAATCAAATCGATCAATTTTAAATCGCCAGTCGGACACCTCGTCTTTACTGGTATAACCTGGATCAGTGTATAAGAAGTCTAGTGCGACGTTGGTTTTTGTACACAAAGTCGAGCTCAGCTGTTCGAGCTCAGCTGTTCGAGCTCGACGCCGGGTGAATGACCCGTACTGAACACAATAAACAGCTTTCTGTTACTACTTCGACGATTCATTGTTGATTCATGAAGTAGATATCATCAGCTAAAATGTAACTCACTGGTTTTCGAAAATTTTAATAATTGTAGAAATGATTGTCATTTCAAGACGTTCGCAAATACGCTGGATTATGCGGTCGAAAATCTTACGGGGCGAGAAGTATAAGTCGAATATCGCGCCAAGTGTTTCAGATGAATGCGCGAATGCAATGAGATTACAAGCATGGTAAAGTGAGACAAACTACATTGGTCGTCGTGAGGGTAGCACTGTTTGGCTTGCTATGGTGAAGCACTACTGTACTATGGTGAAGTAGAATTGCACTAAGGAAAAAAACTACTTCAGGTGACGTCAGGATTTTGAGTAACTTTTAGGACACTCTCTGTAACTAAACTTGAATTGCTTATTACTAATTAACATTTTGGAAGTTAGAAAATAATCTTAGAAGTTAGAACATAATAAGTACATATTTATTTTTTTACGTTAACTTCCATTGAATCTTCAGATGGCTAAATACAAGGTCAAGGTACGTTTGTTTCTTGTGATATAATCTCATATATACACTGTACAAATAAATAAGATTTCAATATTTTACTTATGCACTGTACTTTTTACGCATGATACGCAATTTGATTATTCGAAAACTAACATCATGTTTCTATATGCTATAACCTCTATAGTCAAAATTCTATCATCTATTTTTAAATTAGCAATCGCGCTTAAATTTTGCACATATACTCTTCATGTATAACAGTGCAATGTGAAGCAGTAATATTTTGCTAAAGATATTTTTCTAACCCCTTAACTTATGATTTAGGTCGTAACATATGCTACAGTCAATAATCAAAGTCTGTCACGCGCTGTTGATAATCTGATTGGTAACACACTGTTTACAATTGAGTAATAGAAAAAAAATGAATTAATCTCAAATAAAAGTGTATTTTTACAAATATGTATTCTTCTTTTATTATGTACAATAAATCAATCGAGATTATTGTACATCTAACAATTAGTTTGTTCGTATAAGTTTACATAATTGAGATTTATAGATTGGAATAATTGGCGGTTCTGGATTGGACGATCCCCAAAATGAAATTCTCAATTGTCGTACTGTAATTACTCGGGAAGCTGCCAAAAATGAATTTGGATTGCCTTCTAGCGATCTCTATCAGGGTAATGTTGAAGGCGTGGATGTAGTACTATTGTCAAGGTAATATTATATTTTCAATAGAGTAATGAAACGTATTTAAAAATATCACTAGTACAATTACAACTAGAATTGAAACAGTTTCCATTAAACTGACACTTTATCTGTAATGATTCTTTAATGATAACAGACATGGTCCAGGTCATAAAATAAGTCCTACTGCAGTAAATTATCGTGCAAATATAGAAGCTTTACGACTAGCTGGATGCACTCACATACTAGCATCTGCAGCTTGTGGTTCGTTACAAGAGTCCATCCATATAGGGAAATTAGTTATTCCAGATAGTTTTATAGATAGAACAATAAAAAGGCATGTAACTTTTTATGACAATACTTCGACTAAATATGCAGGTAATTTGTATACATTCCCACACATTTTTTACATACAAGTTATGTACATGTTAATATAAATTGTACAACATTCAATTGTAGGAGTATGCCACATTCCAATGGAACCAGCTTTTAATCCAGAGACATCAGAAATATTATATGAAGTTGGAAAAGAACTAGAATATGATATTAGGTTTGGTGGAACAGTAGCAGTCATAGAAGGACCTCGCTTTTCCTCAAAAGCTGAAAGTAATGCATTACGTCTCTGGGGTGGAGATTTAGTTGGCATGACAACATGTCCAGAGGTATATTTTTGATTATTAGTATTTAGAATGAATTTTAAGAGAAATAAGACTAAATTATATTTTTACCAGCTTTCAAAGCAACATAATTCATTATACAACAGTATATTTTTAAAAAACCAAATGATTAAATTAGGTATATCTGGCTAAAGAAGCAGGATTATTGTATGCAATTGTTGCAATGGCAACAGATTATGATTGTTGGAGAGACTGTGAAGACAATGTTCATGCAGCAGATGTAGTAGCAGTATTTAAACGAAATGTCAGTAAAATAAAAAATCTGCTGGTAGGAGCAATCAAAATTATTGGGGAAAAAAATTGGGACAAAGAAATTGACGATTTACAGGTAATATTTAACTAACATTGAAAAAACAGAGGAATGAGTATTAATATATACATTTGATATTTCAGGATCTGTGTAGAAATAGTAATGTTTCTTCTTAATTTTGTTTACAATTTGGACTACGACAAGTACATACTATGAACAATTTTAATAAAAAATGATAACTTGTAAATTAAATTTTTATACTTGTAATTTGAAGGTTCTGGGAACATATATATATATAATATATAATAATAAATAATATGACACTGAAACTTGGCTTTATTATCTGATATTATTTATCTATACAATTAATAAAAGCAAATCGGTTGAATGACGATTTTCGTTCAATATATCTACAAGCGACAACAGTGTTTTCCTTTGATCGCAAATAAGAATTCATTTATTCATGGATTCGATACATTTATCATTCGGCTAGGTATTGTCATTGCTATAATTCAAATATAATATTGTAATTGATTTTTAAGGTATATAAAATAATACATTCCTCAGAATCATCAGTATGATACACATAACACTTCTCTTAAACATATAATATGTTCATCACATAACACATAGGAAAATCTATTTTTGTACAAATTTCAATTAGAGACGATAAAACTTTATTTCTACGTTAACAATTTATCGCCAACAATATGATATAGAATACAGTTGTATTTTGAAGCACCAATTGTAGTTAACCATTAAAAGGAGAGTTTTCAATGGAGAAAATTATTTTCCACAAGTTACAATTAATTTGCATAAAAGTGGGACAATAATTTATTCTACTCGGTACCCGTTCTATTTCTAAAACGTATGTACAGATTAAACCTGCGAGTATATTCAAACATACGCTTTAATGTATGCCCATCAATTAAAGTATCATTTAAAAAAAACGAGGGTAAATGATACTTAAAATAATTTTGCATGGTATATTTTCTATACACAAAGCATTTACAGTACAACTTGTTCAATCATTTAATAAATGATTTCTTCAATATTCACTTTACTTTTGTGCTACATTTACATTAATATTTAATAAATTTCAATTTAATTTCTTATAACATTGTTTACGTATCATTAAATTATAATAATAATACTTCCAAATTTAACTAAGACTTTGCAAATTTATTATTTCTAATAAATACTATTTATTTAATTAATATCCATGTATATTATTACTGTCTCTTATACACATCTGAGATGTGTATAAGAGACAGTTTAGTGGCCTCATAACATGTGTAATATAAAGACTTTGAGTAAAGGCGATTCAAGCATCACTTTGTTCAGTTGTATGTTTTATATATGCTTTTATAACAATATGCATTTTTTCTTTCATAACAATATTCACAATGTCCTTAACTTCGTAGATAATACATGACATAATACAGTTATACCTGTCTCTTATACACATCTGAGATGTGTATAAGAGACAGTTTAGTGGCCTCATAACATGTGTAATATAAAGACTTTGAGTAAAGGCGATTCAAGCATCACTTTGTTCAGTTGTATGTTTTATATATGCTTTTATAACAATATGCATTTTTTCTTTCATAACAATATTCACAATGTCCTTAACTTCGTAGATAATACATGACATAATACAGTTATACCTGTCTCTTATACACATCTGAGATGTGTATAAGAGACAGTTTAGTGGCCTCATAACATGTGTAATATAAAGACTTTGAGTAAAGGCGATTCAAGCATCACTTTGTTCAGTTGTATGTTTTATATATGCTTTTATAACAATATGCATTTTTTCTTTCATAACAATATTCACAATGTCCTTAACTTCGTAGATAATACATGACATAATACAGTTATACCTGTCTCTTATACACATCTGAGATGTGTATAAGAGACAGTTTAGTGGCCTCATAACATGTGTAATATAAAGACTTTGAGTAAAGGCGATTCAAGCATCACTTTGTTCAGTTGTATGTTTTATATATGCTTTTATAACAATATGCATTTTTTCTTTCATAACAATATTCACAATGTCCTTAACTTCGTAGATAATACATGACATAATACAGTTATACCTGTCTCTTATACACATCTGAGATGTGTATAAGAGACAGTTTAGTGGCCTCATAACATGTGTAATATAAAGACTTTGAGTAAAGGCGATTCAAGCATCACTTTGTTCAGTTGTATGTTTTATATATGCTTTTATAACAATATGCATTTTTTCTTTCATAACAATATTCACAATGTCCTTAACTTCGTAGATAATACATGACATAATACAGTTATACCTGTCTCTTATACACATCTGAGATGTGTATAAGAGACAGTTTAGTGGCCTCATAACATGTGTAATATAAAGACTTTGAGTAAAGGCGATTCAAGCATCACTTTGTTCAGTTGTATGTTTTATATATGCTTTTATAACAATATGCATTTTTTCTTTCATAACAATATTCACAATGTCCTTAACTTCGTAGATAATACATGACATAATACAGTTATACCTGTCTCTTATACACATCTGAGATGTGTATAAGAGACAGTTTAGTGGCCTCATAACATGTGTAATATAAAGACTTTGAGTAAAGGCGATTCAAGCATCACTTTGTTCAGTTGTATGTTTTATATATGCTTTTATAACAATATGCATTTTTTCTTTCATAACAATATTCACAATGTCCTTAACTTCGTAGATAATACATGACATAATACAGTTATACCTGTCTCTTATACACATCTTTCATAAATCAATTTATATATATATATAGGTATTATACAAGGAATTATGGTTTTTATTATTGTAAACAACAGGTCTTCAGGTTTTCTGAATGTTAAGTTCAAAGCAGGATTTGTACTAATGTTTGTTACTTAACCAAATACAATTTCTTTGCAAAGAAATAATGCTTATTATGTAAATAAAAATCTCTTTGCTGGAATTAATTCAAATGATTGCACAATCTATTATGCACAGTTTATATTGAACTAACATCATAGACCATACATCTCTCCAGGATTTTGATGCACTATAAAAATATTATTATTTTTTTGGATAAATATTTGGTCTACTCTTGGAAGTGAACTGAGTTTGAACTGTTGTATCATAATTAAAATTACAATAACGTTCGGAACGTTGAAACCATATTTCATATGAGTTAAAAAGAAACTTTTGTACGCACCTGTAGTTAAGTACCTGGAGTTATAGAAGTATGTTATGTAAATGAAAAAAAAAGTTTAAAATATAGAAGGAAAATAGGCTCATATTTGATGATTAAACCTTACTGTCGACCATATCTACATTGATTTTATAATACACATAGGGGTAGTAGTCATTTTGGCCAAAACCTAATCCAGCTATCTCCATGGTCTGTTTGAACATACGAACACAATAAAAATTAATTAGTTTAAAATGTATTTATAATAGAAGAAAATTGTTCGATATGATAATAATAATATTAGTAATACAAATACTACCTCTTGATTTCCTTGCGCAGCAGATGCTGTAGCAGAAGAATCTAAATGAGCATAGAGCTGATTAAGAACATCACGTAATCGCCTTGCACATTTTTTGTGTGGGTGCAACAAAATTGCTTGGAAATTCACAGGTAGCCCGTACCTGTTGAGTTATTGTTGTAGTCAGTATGTATAAGTTTGAGTTTCGCGTGATCAAGTATTAAAGAAAACAGTACCGCAGAACAGATTCCACAAATACACGCAATGCTTTCACATGAATCCATGCACAAAAGCATTCACTGAAATTGACTTTTAGCCAACGTACAAGAGGTCCAAATTGTTTCTTCTTATCAGTTACCAATTTTGTAATTTCATTTTTTCCTATAATATATCTTAATTAATTCAATGGCAGTAAATAATATAATATCTCACAAATTCTTCTGTCATAAAATAACAAAACTACACATAAATTATGACATATATATAAAAGTACAGGAATTTTTATTAAAACAGCAATTACCAGCAGCTAATTCTTCTTCATTGTAGGTAAAATCTCGAACAATGAATTTTTTCTCACGGGCGTGTAATTTAAATTCTTCAATGACTTTTTTGAATAAGCTGACAGTAAATAAACCATACTCAGAATCCTGAGTAATGAGTTGTGTACTACGTGGAACTATCATGTCTGTTAATTTTTCATATCCACTGTGCCATTCCTGGAAGTTTGCTCTAAAATATGTATGTATGAAAGTGTATTAATTAATGTTAACAATAGATAAGCGTATATTACAAGAAAAATAGTTGCACATACCTTGGTACAATCACAAGTAATGTAGTTAAATATTCACTGTCCAAGATGAAGTGTTCTTTTTTAACTAAGTCAGCCAAATTTCTTGTTAACAAACTTCCTCTGTACAATAGTAATTATTTTCTATTACTACGCGAATAGTATAAAATTGGAAGTAACAATACAATTACTTAAAGTAATAATAAAATTAACTATAACATGATATTAAATTTTTAAATAAATGTCACATACTTACGTTTGTTTCTTTTCAAGATTTTGTAAACTGCCTTTCAAATTGTTATATGTTGTAGATTTAGTCTTGAGATCTGCATCGATTTGACCCACTTGTTTACTGATAATATCGGCGATATTTCTCAAAGATTGTTTAATAGGATATTTCGCCATATCCCACTGGAATCGAGTTATATATGATGGTAGATCACCTAGTAAATTTGAAATGTTATAGTAATCATCCTATAGAGCAACATGTTTCATTTTCTATAACATATTCAAACAGAGCTTGCAGAATTCTGAACATATGGAATCATAAGTAACATGCAATGTTTAAATCACATGTAATACTAAGTGCTTAAAATGTGCTCACAAATGCAATATCCAATATATTCTTAATGATTCAAAGAAATTTAGAAGCTGAGAATGACAAAGCTCTGTTGAATCACAAAATATACTGTACAAATGCATGAATGATATTCCATACAAAATAG